CTAAACGAATATGTCTTTTGTGGTCAGAGAGGTTCTTGGAGTAAATCAAAATGTCATCGATGTAAACAAAAACAAAAATGTTCAAAAAGTCTCTGAGGACGTCATTAACCAGAGCTTGGAAACAGGCAGGAGCGTTAGTGAGGCCAAAAGGCACGACCAGATACTCGAATTGCCCTAAGGGGGTCTTAAAAGCGTTTTCCATTCATCCCCTTCTCTTATTCTGAGGAGCTGGTAGGCGTTTCTTAGATCGAGCTTGGTGAACACTGTAGCACCTTGTACATGTTCAAAAGCTGATGCCAGTAAAGGTAGGGGATATTTATTCTTGACGGTAATCTGATTTAAACCTCTGTAATCAATACAGGGGCGCAGGGAACCATCCTTTTTACCCACAAAGAAAAAACCAGCACCGAGAGGGGATGAAGAAGGGCGAATTATTCCAGCAGCCAGGGATTCGTTTATGTATTTTTCCATAGTCCCTTGTTCAGGTTTGGAAATGTTATACAGTCTGCTGCTGGGAAGAGGTGCTCCAGTTAATAGATCTATGGCACAGTCATATGGTCTGTGAGGTGGAAGAGACGTCGCACTGACCTTACTGAAAACTGGAGCCAGATCATGATACTCAGGGGGAACAGAAGTAAGGTCAGGAGAGTCCATCTCCCCCCTACCTCTAGGGGACTGAATAGTAGGAGCCGCAGAACGAAGACAGGATTCATGACAGGAAGTTGACCAGGAATCAATGTGGCGTTCAGGCCAGTTGATGTGGGGGTTATGACGCTCCAGCCATTCCAATCCTAACACCAGGGAGGAACAAGCTGAAGGAAAAACAAAAAAAGTTAGCATTTCCTGATGGTTTCCAGAGATCAACAGTTCCAAAGGTTGTGTCTGATGAGTAACTTGATGAAGCTTCTTTCCATCGATGGCAGAGACTCGGAGGGGTTTGATTAAAGGAACAGTCTCAATCTTTAGCTGCTGGACCAGTTCAGAATCAATTAGGTTTCTTTCACAGCCAGAGTCGATGAATGCTGACAAGGTGAGATTCTGGTTAGCAAAAAACAGAGTCGTGGTAACAACAAATGAGGAGTTTTTTCAGATTTTAGGTGGCCCGTCAGACTCCTCACATCCTCTGACGGGCCGTGGCTTTTGATTTAGCCGGGCAAGAAGCAATAAAGTGTCCAGTCTCGCCACAGTACAGGCACAGTTTAGCTCTGAATCTTCGTTGCCTTTCTTCAGGAGATAGCCTGGTGTGTCCGATTTGCATGGGTTCACCTTCCGCTCCTTCAGAAGGAGAGAAATAAGATACCTTGACGGGAGCTGGGCGAGTCAGATCCTTTGACCTCGGCTTAGAAACGGATTCTGGGGAGCCAGGAAAAACAGAAGCATTATCAGATGCAGGGGTTGAAACAAAAAAATTTCGGTCTTTCTGTCTTGAGGGATTTCTAGTCCAGAGTCTGTTATCCAACCTGATAGTCAGACGGATTAAATCCTCCAAACTCGCTGGTTCGTCTAATGTGGCGAGTTCATCTTTAATGTTGTCATTCAGAGCCTTAAAATAAGCACTCTTAAGTGCGCACTCGTTCCAACCTGAGGCTGCGGCTTTAACCCGGAAGTCAATGGAGAACTCAGCTACTGTTGATTTTCCCTGTTTCAAATCTAGCAGGGCTCGGGAATCAATGGTTTTATCAGAGTCATGGTTGAAAACCTGAGAAAACTCAGAGATGAATTCTGAAAAAGTACATGAAAAGCTGGACTCAGAAGAGAACCTTGCCTCTGCCCATTCTAGGGCTCGACCAGTAAGCTGAGAGAGAACGAAAGAAATCTTCTTTCTATCATTGGGAAAACTACCAGGAGAGTGTTCAAAAAGTAAACGGCATTGAAACAAAAATCCTTTACACTCCTTTTGATTACCTGAAAATCTTTCAGGAGGACTCGGACGGAACTCAGGAAATGACGTCACAGACAGTGACCTTTGTGGCGGAAGTGGTTCCGGAATAGGACGGACTGCAGGCTAGGGTGGCCAGATGTCCGGCTTTAGGGCGGACAGTCCGGCTTTTCATTGCACTGTCC